GGGAAGGAGCAGCAAACCCGGGGCTCCCCGAGCGCTGCCTTCCATGCTGGAAATAGGCCTTTTGTTCCAAAGAAAGATGCTGAGAGGGGACAGGTTTACATCGCTGATTTGTAAGGTTTAGGTGCTGAATTTCAATAAATCCCTATCCCTGTATTTTCTGATCCTGACCAGCATTCATCTATACCTGGTAGGAAGCAGAATAGCTTTTCTCTTGAGGCTCTCAGAAGTATTTGGCTTAAAGTACTTGGAGCTTTAAGTAGAACAGGAGCAACATATTTCTAGTATTTTAGCATTTTCTCTGTTGCTTTTGGCAATAGCTGAGATATGGAGAGGCACAAATAAACCAAAAGTATGAAAAAAAGCGTTTATGCTTTTTTAGCCCTTCATATATATAATCTCCTTATACAGAACATAAAAAATGAGGTTTAGCACATTAGTTGGGTTTATTTAAGTTTTTGCTTTGGCTGACGTTTCAATTGTCCAAAGCCTGTTTTGAACCTTTTTAACCTCAGTGCCTGCTCTTGTAGATCCATCGCCTAGGTCTGGTCAGTTGGTCCTTTAGATGTAGGAATTCGTTTGAGTAACCTTCGCTCTACATTGTACTGCATCATCTTTCAGAAGTTGCTTTAGAAAAAAGATATCTTGCCCATGAGGTTTGGCTTGCTTGTCCTAGAAAGCCTGCAGTTAATAAAAATAAAAGAAATGGGTTCACAAGCAGGGTTTCGTGGTGTGAGTGGAAGGCAGACCCCCACAACAGTGACTTTGTTGGCTTGGAGGACCGTCCTTCAGCTAGTTTGAAAAAGCACTGTCAAAGCCTGATCTAGTTGAGAGGCGTCCCTGCCAGTGACAGGGAGGTTGGATTAAATGATCCCTGAGGTCCCTTCCAGCCTAGGCCAGTCTAGGATTCTATGATAATTACTCCTACCTTAAATAGATCCGACGACTTTTTTATGCTCATTGGTCATGGGCTCCTTTCTCCACTGCTGGTATTGTTCTTTTTTCGAGTGAGTTATGGATCCAGCGTGTAATTTTAAAAATGGTGCAAGACCCAAGGGTAAAGCCGAGGGTGCCTGCGCAGGGTCCTTGTCTCGGGGTGAGCACACACCACGTTTGCGAGCGAGGCCTATGAAGGCAATTACACTTTTCATCAGTTGCCTCTTCAGGCTTAGAAATGATGCACAGGAATGGAAAAGCAAAGATGCTGTTAAGCTGCATGTCCTAAAACATATTCTGAGAGTTGTGTTCAGCGTAGAAGATCTCTTTGGCTGTTTAAAATCACTTTGAGACTTTCTAGTCCCTGAAGATCATCTTTTAGGTTTTCAGAGTTGGTTACTCTGCTAACTGCCAATTTTTAATTTATTATTTTGTTTTTAATATGTGAGATGTATGTTTGAATGAGCTAATTTAGCCAATGGAATTTTATAACAACTATACGAATGCTGTGGATTTCCCTCCTCACCCCCTGCAGCAGAAACTTAATTTGCAGAAATGAAAACAGTCCCTGGCTGGCTTTAGTGTTTTCTCAAAAATAGAAACAGTAGAGTTTGTCTGGCTGGGCCAGTTTCCTCACCACACACCTGGTGTATATCACTTTAAAAAATACATTATGCCTCATTAAATTACAATTAAATGAAATCATGATCATTTGTTTTTCTGAAAGGAAGATGTTTTGCATATTGAAAGCCTAATTTCTTGCAGGTGACAAAAAGGCTGAACAGATTATTTAATATCACTTTATTTTTTATACTGTTGCTCCCTGGTTAGTTTGTGTATACCCCAGTAGCTCAGAATTGTATTATTGCAAACGTATTGCTCTCAAGATACTTTATTTTATTGTCCTACTCCGTCGCTCCCCTATCTGGCCAGTGGTGTTTACCACCAGTTTGCCTTCAGCTGCAGGAGATGTTTACCTCTGAGTCGGTTTTCTTTTTTATCTGTCCTGTTTACACAGTTCCTCAGCTGCCAAAGCGCTTGAAGGAGCTGTAGAAAAACCCTCTTTGCCACCACGTTTCCTGCCTGCGGGCACGGAGGAGCAGGGGGCATGGGGACATGAGTGTGGGGAGCAGGGGGCACAGGGAGCAAGGTTTGGGGAGCAGGGGGCATGAGGACATGAGTTTGGGGAGCAGGGTGCAGGGGGAAGGGGGCACAGGGAGCAAGGTTTGGGGAGCAGGGGGCACAGGAGGCAGGGTTTGGGGAGCAGGGAGCATGGGGACATGAGTGTGGGGAGCAGGGGGCACAGGGAGCAAGGTTTGGGGAGCAGGGGGCACAGGAGGCAGGGTTTGGGGAGCAGGGGGCATGGGGACATGAGTGTGGGGAGCAGGGTTTGAGGATCTGGAGCAAGTGCCTGTGCTGGGTGGCGATGCTCCTGGCCCCTTAGCAGCCGATGACAAATGTTGCCATGTCCCTGTAGCAGAGGTGAGGTCCTTGCAGAAGCAAGAGGTGCAGGCTGGGGTTCAAAACCGCTCGGTCTGCCCCCTGGTAAGCTCTTTTGGGTGATGGATCGGAGCCCCCAAGGACCAGAGTTGGTGTCTCGTACAGCGAGATCCCTCTTAGCGCCATGACCAAGCCACTTGTACCTGTGAGCCCCTGATTTACATAGGGAGTCAATGACTGCACTGAAAAGTAATTGCTGGCATGCGTTCACAGATGGGTTTGCTCTCCATTTTTGAAATTGGACCATAAATTTAGCAGGCTAAGATGGAAGGGAGAAAAAGCTGTCTTAGAGTCAGCTCCAGTAGCTTTCAGGTAGCTTTATTTCAGCCGAAACTCATTAATTGTTGAAGCTGATCTTTTCCTTTTTTTTTTTTAAAAAAAAGTAGTTATGTATCCTTTAAAAGACCCAAGAAATTGAGAATTTAGATAATCCGTGGAACTCGTATTTCATTTATTTACTGCGTTTAGAGAATTTTCCAGTGACTTTAAGGGAAAATCGTAATAGCGACTTGCTGTATCGATCTTGGAATCGTTTAAGTCATGGCTTCAAGCTTCTGTAATGTCCTTTTTTGGTTAATCTCCCTCAGCCTGTGAGCCTGGCAAACTCTGGAAAGCTTTTCAAAATATCCTTAGCATCTCTGAGGGGTGGTAAACCCTGAGGAAGAAGCCAAAGCGTGAGCCTGCGGTTGTGTTGAGGTCACAGAGAGTACCAGGGGCCGGCCCCGCGCTTCACCTTCTTCAGCTGTTCCCTTCCACCCCTTCCCAGCACAGACCTTTTCACCAGCTGCCTTCTCTGTTCCGTCCCATTTCTGACTGGAGGGTCCCACCATGGCTGCATTCCCAGCTCCAGTCCGTCTGGTAACTACTCCGATAATTGCAGGAAAATGTAATTGGGAATCTCTTAGCTTGATTATGTAGATGAGGAGCTGCAAAGATGGAGCTGCGTGCAGCCTACCTTCAGGTTGTGCGGGGAGCTCGTTTTGAGCGCTTCTGGCGTTAAACCTCGCCAAAGCCGAGCTTTCGTGTACGTGTTCTAACGTAGGTGTTTAGTGGCAGGTAAATGCAGATACGGATACGTCGTTTGCGGGTCCGTTGGTTTTGTCAGGAAGTCTGGTTAAATAAGATCAGTGTATACTAAAAATGTTGCATTTGGTTAATTAACCAACTGTAGTGGCGGTGTTCTAGCGAGGCTTTTTGGAGGAGGCTCTCTAATGCAGAAGAAGATAAACTCAAGGCTAAATATTGCAGGGTTTTGACTATGTGGTTACTTTCTAGTAGTGTTTTTAATACAAAAAGGAAGGAAGCCCTGGCTGTCCTGATGAGGCAGCTCTGCTAGACGGTGGCTGTAAAGCCCCTGCGGCAGGGATGCCACACAGCTCCGGTGGCTGATGCTGATCCCAGAATCGTCAGAGTTGGAAGGGACCTCTAGAGATCATCTAGTCCAAACCCCCGGGAGCAGGGGGCAGAGAGGCTCGGAGGGGCTCGCACCACATGGGAAAACATCCTGGCAGAGTAGCCTCCGTTTCTTACAGAGCGGTACAAGTAGTCTCGGTGGGCAGAAATGATCCCTGTCTGCTTCTTTGTGCGCCAGGACATGTAAATGTCTGTAGTTCAGGGGGTGGCTGTTGCTGCTTTTCGGAGTGAAGCACCCGTATGTGAAGTGTGGGTGCGAGGGAGTGCCGGGGGAAGCTGGTGGCACACACTGTCCCCGTACTTTACTTTCTGTAGGTCCCCATCCAGGCTTCTGTGTTGTGCCTTTAATTTTTAGATAATCTCTGGAACTGTTGAGTGTGCACGTTTATGCATAAATTTAATCCCATCGTTAGATTTAAGCCTCTTTTAATAATATTTTCATATCTCCAAATTTTTTTTTTCTTTTTCTTGGAAGTGGTGTGCTGGTTACCTCTTGAAATAAGGGCTTTTGTAAAAACTGAATGAATATGGTGTTCGTTCATGGTTGCAATCTGAAGCCTGGGGTATTTTAAAATGAGGCATGAAAGAATGGGTTAAATCCCTAAAGGTACATTCTAGGGCTTTATTATTGCTTCATTTTTCTCCTCTCAGAAATGACTGTCCAAACCAAAATGCACGGACTGTAACATCAAAAAAAAGCCAAACATTTTTTCTTTATAAACCTCCTTCACTGTTTAAATGTCGAACCTAAATTTACCAACCTTGGCAGATTTGTCAAGGATGAACAGGGTTGCCAAGTGTTCCCAGCTTCAAGTAGAAAGAGAGAGAGAGAGAGATCTAACAGCTCCTAAAATATTTGCAGCAAGCACCTGGTAGTAACTGCAATTTTTTCTACCCAGTGCACCTACCTTCCTATCCAGCATCTCCATACTCAGAAGCTTATTACAGTGCCAGAATAGGACAGTCCCAAAATAAACCCCAGCCCCCAGAAGACAAACACTTCCCTACAAAATATCCCCTCTGGGAGAGCCCATGAGATTCTGATGTAGGTTCTCAGTATTGCAACCCAGCTGGTTACACTAAACAAATTTAAAAAAAAAAATCAACACATGACTAGGCTTCTTTTTTTCATTTTTGTAAATTTTTTGAACCAGGGCTTGTTGTCAGAGATCCTACGTAAAGAAGAAGACCCTAGGACAGCTTCCCAGTCCCTCCTGGTAAACTTAAGGGCAATGCAGAATTTCCTCAACCTGCCTGACTCGGAGAGGGATCGTATCTATCAGGACGAGAGAGAGAGAAGCATGAACCCCAACGTGAGCATGGTGTCTTCAGCTGCCAGCAGCCCAAGCTCCTCCAGAACCCCCCAGGTAAGATGCCATCCCTCCTTAACTGTTTGTGGTGCGGATTAGTGCAGGGAAGGAGCTCCTCTCTGCCCTTCCCCTGTCAGTTGCTCCCAAATCCTTTTGTAAGGCTTTGGAGGGGCTGTAAGAGACGTTTAGTGGATTTCAGCAAGGCATTGTGATGATGATTCTCGCTTTAATCAATGCCCTAAATGCAAACAAAAGTAGCTGACGTTAGTGCCTGAAGGAGCACGTGTGGGCGTTACGTTCAGGCTGTGGATCTGTGTCCGCTAAATGACTGTTGCAGAGTATGTTAGAGAAGGACAGTGCACAGAACTTTTCACCTGCATCCGTTACATTCTGCAAGACACAGAGGAGATTTCTGGGCTTGTGGTGAGGTTTGTATACGTTGCAGTAAAAAGTGTGCAGTAAGTAGAGGTCCACAGTGAATTAAACAGACCACTAGAAATCAGTAATTGCAGTCTTGACTTAGAGGTTTACAGGAGTAAGGATTTGAAGTACAGCAAGTAGAGACGGGCAGCGTGCTGGGAAGGAGAGATGATGCTTTAGAGCTCCAAACCAGCTGTCATCTCCTTCACTGCACGTGTTTATTAACGTGCTCTTGCCACCCACTTCCCTGGGTAGGTTGTTCCTTTGCACTGGGAAAGAGCATCACACACTGCACTGTCACAGTCACCCCCCTTTTGCCAGGCTGCCTGCCTGGAAAAGCGAGGGTGCTTGCACATAGGTGACGATTAACTCCTGTCATGACACTTGCCCGACTTGGGCTCGAAATTTCTAACTGTGCAGACGTGACGGGTCAGTTCTAGCACTTCTCTCCACCTTCAGCAAACGGGCCTGCATCACCCTCCTGCTTCGGTGCTTTCACAGGCCACAAAGTCTTGGGCTGTGCTAGCCGAGCTTGTAATAGCGTTACTGAACACTTCTCGTGTTGAATTCCGTGGCTGCAGCTGCTAAAAATAAGTACAATTTTACATGCAGACTGATCATCCTTAAGGTGTGCTGATTTCACAGGAGCTGATGGGCTCCTGGGCACCATACATGGCTTGAAGGACGGTGTTCACTGAAAGCAAGCCTATCCTGCCAACCCACATTTGACACTGAATTTTGATTACATGGGAAATTCCTTGTATACCTCTTTTATTTTCACTGAAAGGTAGGAAAAAAATTATAAAGGGAACTACTCTAAAGTGTAAGTAGTGTATCCACTTTCTGCCTTTGCATTTATTCATGAAAGAATTAGTTTGTTCCTACTTGTACTTATTGGAAGAGATTTTGCAACTAGAATCAAATAACAGAAGGAAGTGGAGAGTTTAGATGCAATCCAGTGAGAATAAAAATTGGATCTGTTACCCCATCTCATCCCTGTCGCAATATGACATTTTCCCATGTTCTAGTCACGGCTAGAAGGTCATTTAAAATTAAGGAAGTGTTGCCTGCCTTTTCAAGAGCTAAGCGTTGCTGGAAAACCATGCTCTAGAAGTATAAAGCAGCCCATCCTTGCCTTATTTCAGCTTGAAGAATCAGGCAGAATATTGTGGGGATTTTAATCAACAAAAGCAGCACACAAAGGTTTGTGTAGCCAGTGCCCGCCCATACCGCCTCCTCAGCCCTCGGGGGCCAGCACCAGTCAGCACAGGTGCTGTTTTGACAACTTGGACACCTCTGCAAATGAGGCTGCTTCTCCGCGCCGGGCAGGCGGCGTGGCTACCGCGCTTGCCCATATGCCCAGTGTTAGTTCTGACTAGACAAATGCCGTCCTGGCCCGTGGCACAGCCCTTCCCGGCAGCGTCACCTCCCAGGGCAGGTGTGCTACCTGCCCCAGAGAGGGGTGCCGTGGGGTGGAAGCCAAGCCCTCCTTTTGGGAATTGCCTCGGAGTGCGGGAGAAGTTGAGGGACCAGTGTTTGGAAACGTGGTTTCCATCGATACCCATCTCCGGCAGCCCTTCTGGGAGGGGAGCGCTGGGCGATGCCTGGGGCAGGGCACAGGGTAACTCAGCTCGGCTCTCCTGGCCCCAAGGACTCCCCTGCCCAGGACCTGCCCCCAGCCGAGGAGGGCAGGGTGACCTGCAAACAGGTGCCAGCTCTGAGGGGTCGGCGTGTGCTCGGGGAAGATGGGCAGCGATGGCTGGGGCTCAGTGCTCTGGCACGACAGCTGCAGATGCAGCTTTTTCCTTTTTCCCAGCTGTTTGCAACTAGGCGTTCCATTAATGGCGAACGCCGCCTTAACATCAAGCCAGGTTTTAAATTAAGCCTCTAACAAAAAATACTTTGGTTTAGTGACTGTGATATGTTGGTTTGGTACTTGCCCTACCTATTTCAGTGATTAAATACAAAATGATGCAGCTTTCAGGGTGGGTAGGGCAGGCTTTTTTTCTGATGTGTGGCACTGTAGGAAGACCCATGCAGGATGGAGCTATTTTTTAAATCTTTCTTTTACATGCTAATTTTGTTCTTTTCAGAATCTCAGGCCTCCGTAGGGGCTTTTGAGGCTGTGACTTCGGCTGCTGTGCTGGCCAGAGGCTGGCGC